ATCTCGTTCATGATCAAAAATGATAGATCTGTTTGATAACTGTTGAGTTTTGATTTGATCTGTTGTGGCTGTTGGCAACAATTGGACCTTCAGAAGGATCTGACTGTGATGGAGTAATATTATTATTTGAAGTGGATGGGGAGCCATGAGACGCATGAACCTGTAAATCGTTAAACGTGCCTGAGAAGTTCATCGAAGACTGACTAGAAGATGCGAAAGATTGCTCCCCAAGCTTCTGTTCACTGGAAGATATATCCTTCTCAAAATGAAGCAGAGTGTTGTGTTTTTTAGCACAAGATCGGCAGGAACTACTCAAACAATCTTGAGTGGAATGACCTGGACGTAAACAATTGGTGCATACCCTACGTTTTCCGATTTCTTCATATCTGACACTAGTCGACAGTTTCAAGAATTCCTTGCAATAATAAATAAGGTGATTACCCTTACAAAAAATACAATGATGATTGCTAGTTGAAAAATGTATAAACGATTTCTCATTTTTGTATCCCGATTTAAGATCATCGACATTTTCATTATCAATAGATTCCAACAATTGACATCTAGCTGATAAAAAATCAATAAACTCTTGTATTGTGGGAGAAACTTGTGTTGAAGTTTTGACTCCCCATTCCTTTTTTGTACCCACATCTAGCTTAGACAACAATAAATATATTAATATCGTCCTCCATGATTCTGCTGGCTCACCTAAGTTTTTTAATGCTCTGTAATGTTTCAGAAAATTATTGTGAAATGCTCTTAGGTAAATATGCGAGTCCTTGATAACGTTTTTTGATTCAAAAATATTTTTAATATGACTTCTAATTACAATTTTTTTATTCTCGAATCTATTCTTCAACAAATTCCACGCCACTGGAGATTTACTGCATTCACCTCCAAGGAATCAATGACCTTGGCTGCATCATCCTTCAAACATGACTGAAGATAGTAAAACTTTTGGATATCGGACAAACTGGAATTACTATGAATAAGTGATGTAAAGGTATCTGCAAAATTAGACCATTTATCATATGTTCCACTAAATTCAGGCAATGACAACTGCAGTAGTTTTACATTACAATTAATATTTGGTTCATTGACTTGATGAAAAGACGATGCACCTGGGGTAGGTTTACATAAAAGACCTCTTGCTTTCGAAACAATAAAAAAATATTTGTTTTCGAATAGATTTCTTTCATCATGCTGTGACGAATCATCATCCAATATTTCAATTTGAGATTGGATATTATCGAATTCGTCGTAAAAGGATTCAATGCGCTGCAAACGAGTTGCAATTTTTGTCAATTTGCAATGATTTGCTGTATCCTCAATGAACCCTATGAATCTCGTTAATTGTGATTTTATTTGACCCCTGCGGGCTACTAGTTTTCCTAATTCTTCTGACATTATTAAATGAGAAACATTGAATTAACAAATTTTCCAAAGGAGAATTCAATTTGCTGTGTGAATTAAAAACTCACCAGCTTCGGTGAGAAATGAATGGTGTTTTGAGTTCCTAGTAAAATGAGTAAACGAATGAATTAAATTATTGTTTTTGACAGGCAACGTCACTGTGACGTATAATCTGTCTTTTATATAAAAATTGAATTGTAATTATTTGAATTGAATAGCATCACCTATCTATATGGAGTTAGGTTAGCTTGAATACTTATGAAGATCTGATTTGTATTTATTTTTGCAGCATTTATTGCAAATGGTTTATAGTAAAAAGGAAAGGGATTGAAGGATGAATCGGAAAGGACTCACGGATTCTCCCGCTTTGTATCTTCCGTCCTTGTTCCTCTTCTTTGAATAATAGATATCCGTCTCGTGGGACCAATGTCTAATCTTGTGGTGCTGGAGTGCCTTGCTGTTGAAATGTATATTTATTTCTGTACTCCTATCGCTACCACTCGAATCTGTGCTGGTTCTGGTAATTGAAAATGCTGTTGCATATAATATTTAATGAATGTATATTTTACAGAGTTACAAAAACCAACATGTCTAACTATCGTTGTTTGACAATCTCTCTTTTTCTGTCATCATGACAGTTGTCATAAAACATGACAGGGGCGTATCATATAAGAAATTCAACAGTATTACAGGAAATTAGTAGTGATGAAAAAGGAATAAATATTATATCCAACGTTATTATCAACCAGGTAAATAATGAAAACTTTAACAGTTTGTGGGGCCAACACCTTCATTGGCCAATTGGTAACCTCTCCAATTAGTTGATAAAATAAAAAAAATCAGGCTTCGGGATAGTGTTCTTTAAAGTTCCTCACCATGTTGAACACCCAAATAATAATGTACTGCCTTTTACAGCCCTTGTGTGATTATTGTTTTGACGTGTTGGGAGTGTGAATCTGAAACTTACCTTATTCGTTCATTCACTGGGCGATTGACCCTAGTTATTATCTGAGATTGGTGAATTTCATCGAGTACCACGGACTTATTCTTAATTGCCAACATGGCTTCAGGCAGCAAAGATCAACTTCGCAATAGCATATATACAAGTCTCAATAACAAGCAAATTCCAGTTGGCTTATTTTTTGATTTAACTAGAGCATTCGATACGGTGAACCATAGCTTACTCCTGGAGTAACTACTCAGAATTGGGATCAGGGGAGTTGCTAATGACTGGGTTACCTCATATATAAAAAATAGAATACAAGTGGTAATGATGGATTCGATGAAGTCACATTCTGCTTTTGTTACAATGAGAGTTCCGCAGGGTTCAACCCTACTAAGAAAGTCACTATGCTCCTCTAAAATATTAACCATTCAGTCTTCAGCAGTTTTTAGTAGACATTAAAAATCCAAGAACAAATAAGTATCCCAACTCTCACCCTACACAAAAGTCCTCCCAATGCGACATAAACGGTGTCTTTATTCCAACATACAAATTGACGAACTTCTGAAAAATACATATAGGGTCATTCGACCAGAAAATGAACAATACCCAGTTAATGAACACTGTTCAATACTTCAATGCATAATAAGAATATATTTGTTTGAAGAGAGCTGTTCATTCTTTCAAAAGTTTCGGGCGCATGTTCACTAGGCAGTTCATTTAGTGGCTTGTTCAAAGAGTGTTTCGTTAGTCTGTCTAAAGCAACAAATGGAAGACAACAGTGTCAACAATTGATGTGAAGGACGCCATTTTTATATAACGTTTCGTTATCGATCCCGACAGTTTTAGATATTTTATATCTATTCAAAAGTGTTAGACTCAGTTGTATGAAATTGATATTTTATGCATGTCAAGGTACGCATTTGAATATTTTATTACTTTTTTTGTTGAAAACTCCATATTGTGCATAAAATTCAGGGTGCTCATTCACTGGATAACGTTTTCTACTGAAATCCAATGAACGAACGGGGGGTTCATTAACTGGATTTTCGTGCAGGCTTGAAAATATGCAATAATCAACTTTAAAAGTATCTAACATTGATGCAATAATTTTACTGAATGTATGGTTTCGACGTATTCACCGTCAGCTAGTAAATGAACACCGTTCATTCACTGGAATTCATTCAATGGAACGGATTTTATTTCTAGATGAGTACGAACTACAAACGCTTCAAATACACAGAAAACGATCTGTCCATGGCATTGAATTCAATTAATGCTGGAAAAATGAGTTTAAATAAAGCATCACTACAATATGGAATCCCAAAATCAACTCTTCATAATAAGCTAACGAAAAAGGTCTGTATCGAGAGAAAAATGGGCCCTCCTACCATACTAACCAGTGAAGAGGAACACAGGCTTGCTAACTGGATTTTAGGCAAAGCCAAACTCGGCTTTCCTATGCATCCTGAAGAAGTCAAAACCGCTGTTCAAAATGTTTTAAAGGCCTGTCCTAGGGAAAATAAATTCGTAGATGATAAACCGGAAGAAAAGTGGCTACAGTTATTTCTGCGAAGACACTCCGACATTCCTAAACGGAATACCGAAATAATTTCGAAAATTAGAGCTTCAGTTACCGAAATGGCAATTCGGAAATGGTTCGAAGATCTACGAACATTAAAAAAATGAGAATATGTTGGAAATAATAAATGATCCTTCACGTATATTCAACGCCAATGAGACAGGAGTTAAAACATCAATGGAATCAGGTCTTGTTCTGGGGCCTGCAAGAAAAAACTTCAGAAATTTCTATGAATTTGCACCAGGGAAGGAAAAGAATCTATTACTGTTCTTTGTAATTTTGCAGCAAGTGGAACGGTAGTTCCTCCGATGAATGTCTTTCCTTACAAACGAATACCCAAGGAATTGGCTGCTTCTGTACCAGAAGGATGGTCAATTGGACGATCTGATTCGGGTTGGATGACCAGTGCAATATTTTTTGAGTATATAGCCAACGTCTTCTACCCTTGGCTTATCAAAGAGGGCACTGAATTTCCGGTAATACTTTTCATTGATGGACACAAATCCCATTATAACCTAGAAGTATATGAATTCTGTCGCGAAAAACAGATCTTTCCGTATTGTCTCTTTCCAAATGCAACCCATATATTACAGCCCTGTGACGTTGCTATCTTTAGGCCATTGAAAGTGGGATGGAAAATAGCATGTCGTGCTCATGAACAAAAAACCACGACATCAATAACACGGCATACTTTTTGCGGATTATTCAAAGAAGCATTCGATCGGGCCTGTGAACCGAGTACCATTATTAGTGGATTCAAAAGTTGCGGACTATATCCGTTAGATGCGGAATCTGTCGATTATACTAAATGTATATCTGCCCGACGAAATGAAGTGTTCCAAAAAACAGTTGTAAGCGAGTAAGGTCCTGAAGATTACAAATCGAGTTTGAAAGTTCTGGTACACTATTTTGGTGTAAACAAATTCAAAAATTCATCGGATGCAAATGATGACATCCTTTCATTTTATGAATATTGCAAATCCCATGCTGTCGAACAAAACATATGCAATAACACTGATAGTCAACTGATTTCAAGAATGATCTGGCTGATGAATGTGAAAATGAATTGATTTGCTCAGAAATCATGAAAAGTATTCTTGATATGGTGTTTGATATTGTGGAGAATAGAGATATGATACCTGCAGAAGTTACTTTGGCGAAAAGTTAAAATGTATTACAGGAAATTAGTAGCAATGAAAAAGGAATGAATATTATATCCAACGTTATTATCAACCAGGTAAATAATGAAAACTTGAACAGTTTGTGAGGCCAACACCTTCATTGGCCAAAGCAAGATGTCCCTTCCAGAAAACGAACTTCACGTGACCAAATGCCTTCTGCAATAACTTCTGAACAATGGGTAGCGTATCATAATGAGCAGGAAAGGAAGAAGTCTGAAAAGGAAAATGCAATAAAAAGTCGCAAATTGGAAAAGACTTTGAAGATGTCGGCCATCAACAAATCGAAAGTAACTAAGAAGAAAACGAAAAGTAAAGAAGTTTTTTCAGAAACTGTGCCCACAGACCAAAAGAGTAGTACGGAAAGTCAAGGTAGGATTAAGTTGGTATACAATTCATTTTTTTTAATTTATTTATTTTTCAATTCTAGGCAATGCACCAAACGAGAAACATTCTCCAGAATGTATTTCAAAACCAATGAAAATACTAAACAGAAAAAAGAAATTTGAAAAACGGCAAAATAAAAACACAAAAAAACGACGTCGAGAATCGATACGAAAAGAAATTATTTCTAAAGACAAACAACGTGTGACTGTCGAAACAGATATTGGTAATACCAAGTAGAATATTCGTGTTGAAATACTCAATTAGATGTATTTCATTCGTTTCAGGTTTCTCGCTTGGAGATTACGTTTTGGTTCTTTATCGTGGTAAAAAATACCCAAGAGGATGCCGACAAAGAGAATAAAGAGTACGAAATTAATGTTATGGAGAAAAAAAATTAAAAAGGTTGGATATGGCCTACTAAAATTGAGCAAGCCTGGTACAAGGAGGAACAGGTTTTGAAAAAAATACCTGAACCAAAATATGATGAAAATTCAGAGGTCTATATGGTAGTACTAACCTAAATAGCGACCAGTAACGGTTTATAACTTGTTGACGTTGATAATAAATTACAGTTCATTGACTGGAGTTTGTTTGTTCTTTTATTGGCATAACCTGTTCATTCACTAGGTTTTTGGTAACCTCTTCAATTAGTTGATAAAATCAAAAAAATCAGGCTTCGGGATAGTGTTCTTTAAAGTTACTCGCCATGTTAAACACCCAAATAATGTTGTACTACCTTTTACAGCCCTTGTGTGATTATTGTTTTGACGTGTTGGCAGTGTGAACCTGAAACTTGCCTTATTTGTTCATTCACTGGGCGATTGACCCTAATTCATTTCATTTGAGGTACTCGCATCCTCAAACAAATTCAATACAAAATGTCATGTTATTTGAAATATTCCACTTGCTATTTTATAGATTCAGAGTCCTCGTAGCTACACACAAATATTGAAGATGTCCTCGTATCGACACATAAATTGCAGGCAGATATCTCACTTGCATTTCTGTGAATTTTTGAATTTGTGTGTCCTCGGAGGATATGCAGAAATTAGGTAGGAGTGTGTTCATCAATCGATCGTTACACGCCTAGCGGTGTGTTTGGTGAAATATGTGTCCATAGTGACATGGTCTTCTGAGGACATCGTCTATTTTTGATTTATAGGTACATCTGAGGTCGGAATAATGCGTAGAATACTGAAATGAATTCAAAAGTTGCGAGGACGGGGTGTGTGTCCTCGCATGATAAACTGTCCTCACAAGACCTATCTGGTACGGACGAAAGTCCTCGCATGACTACAAATGCCACACACACTTTCTTTTATTTAACTTCAAAGATAGGAAGCGCTCAATGAAAGACCCGCTATAAGAAAGACATGCTTCAATCCTTGCAAAGTAAAAACACCTATTCCAAGATTTTGTTTAAAAAATATCAGTAGGGTCACAAGTTGTGTTAAATCAGAAGAAAATAATAATGGTATATTCTTCCTCATTATTAGATTTCATTGAGATATTAAAAATCAAAGAGGATGGTATTGAGTGGATTCATATCAACTATGAGGTCTCATACCTCATATCTGCCCAAAACTTCATTTCACTTCCAACGGTAATAATTATGAATATCTCTTATAATGTCTCCATTGAAATTAAAATATTTTTCTCATTCTGTACCAATTATTTGCACCATACTGAATTTAAAATCCGTCGTGTATGAAATCTGCCACATGATTCAACTATAGAATGAAACCCCAGTTACTAACTTCACGGTTGTAACTTATCTCGTAGTAAAGTTTGCTGAAATATGGAGTTATAGTTTGGCGTAATACTTTGTGAAAACATGACCAAAATACTAATGGCTTATTCGCAGCGCAAAAGTCTTACAAGGGTCTGCAAGGTAAACAGAAGTTTAAATGTTAATTATTTAACACAAAAACTGATTTCTAATGTCGTCAGATGAATATTCAGATTATTTCATTCTATAATATATGGATTATTCATCTGCATATAGAACAGGTAGTATTTTGAAATAATCGACTCTTTTCAGTGACATAAAAGTGATTGAAAAACAAAGAGAGTCTTGAATAGCGGCCAGCTACACAAATGTAGTTTTGGATGGAGCTTTAACAATTCTATCGTCACTACGGGGGAAGCTACAGTAAACTGCGAAGACGTATTAGCGAGGCAATAAGGCATTAGTCATTTGGAGCTAATTGGCTCTTACCATCACGATATTCCCAGTGATGAGAAAACAATACAAACGTGAAGCGTCCCTTATTTTTGGTACATTGAAACTAAATTCATTACATCCAAGATTCAATACTCAAAAAATTATCTTCAGTTAGAGGCATGACAAACATCAAAAGCAAAAGCTTATTCTACAAAGTATTCAGATGTGCAATTCGAAGGCACTTGGATAAATCATCAACAGGATCCACCCAGATATCTAGATATGGATGTTTTCTACAACCAAAAGTTGCCTATGCTTGCAATTGGCTACGTCACGTTACTAAAAATCAAATACTTTCCAGACTTACATTAAATACACTATTGTGAACTGCTTTTTGTTATTGTATCATAGGTTGGTCGCCACAATAATATACATAGCAAATCTGTTGTCACCATACTCATGAGGGCCAACTAGTCTAAACCATGTTTATGTGCTTTGTCAGAGTCCTTTCACCAGAACTTGGTCTTTCATTAGTAAGAAACACTCAATGAACCTCCTTTCTTCTTTCGCAGTTCGACATCAAGAAGGTAGCTTCCATAGTAATGCTACCTGTAGTCTTCTTTTAATGAAACCGCAAATATATAGCTGACTTCTGATGATTCCTCAGCCGATTGTGCCTCATGCAGCCAATTGGAGCCCGTTTCTTCACTTGAATGAACCATACTAGCCAAATAGGCAAAAACACTCGTTTTGTTGAGTTCCATGTTTGCTAAAATTTTGTTTTTATGTATACCAATATTCAATAATGTTCACTACGTGAAACAAAGCTACTGCAATTGCAACCTTTCCTGATCATGCGTGTCGCACCGGTTTTTCAGACCACTTGATTTCATTTCATCATGCAATAGTTTCAATTTTGCAATGACTTTGAACTTCTCTGTAGATCTATAGAAAAACAATGTATCGCGAACCATTTTATCTTATCCCAAAAGGATCAGGCAGCGTTTTCAGTGAAAGCTCCCGGTAGCACCACTGTTCCACTTTTCACGATTATTATCATCATACTTCTACCAATTCATAAAACACATTGAATAATCATACACATAAAGCCCTCTTACTCGAATCACTCAGTCCATTGATGGAAATGGTATAAAAACTTGTTGGGTAGTTTTTGAGTCCAACGCGTTCATATTGACAGGACAGACTTACCGACGCAGCGGTACGACTTTGTTTCAACATTTGTAGAGATGAATTATGGGGGTTTGGAGTAGGACCTTTGTCGTTTTTTAAAGTTATTATCCCAAACTCTATTACATCTAGACTTTGGAAAGTTACATTTCTAACTATTTCGCGAAATATATTGGGCAATACTAACTGAACATCTATAAAATTGAATATGTCTGTGTGTTCCATGAAAGGGGTTTTGTTAGCTTGTCCAATCTAACCAACATATACTTATCGTAAAAGCCTTCACAGTTCATTTCATTTGGGGTAGAATTGGAACCTCTGATGAATTCGTCCAAGTTTTGAGAAATCAGATATAGAAGTGGCTTTCAAAACTGCTCGTACACTCCAACAAATATTGGGCAACCCTCCAGAGTGGATAATGGTAAGGGAATCAGTCTGAGATTCACGAAATAAGCTGTATGTATTTTAACAGAACGTATGTTGGTCAAACTGGGCGAACTTCAATAACGCGTTTCAAGAAAAGTATTAATTAAAATTAGAAATGAAAAACAGGTGAATAGTAGGTTCATAACATGTAGTCACTAACATATTAATTAGGAATTGTGATATTACAAATTAACAATACTAGAAATTCATGTATCGGAACTCATTTGATGATCCCCCATTAACTGAGGTGATGTATGCATATGAATAGACCTGAATTAGATGTAGGAACTCAGTTTTGTTCATCACTTGATGATGTTAACTTGGTTTCCGAAAAGCGCGTCGAGAGATAATTTATTTGTTAGGTGTGGGAAAAGTGTTTTCCTTAGTTTATTTTATGAATCTTAGACTTCATCTAATGTTGTCTTCAGAGTTAACTTAATGCTTCTCGAAGCGAACAAGCAAACTTTAAAAACTAGTTTCGCATTCAGCTTTTCGAAAATTCGATTCAGCTCATACGTCATCTGGAATCGTTCTCGAACCAAAATACACGAAATTTAAAGAAAGTAACCATAATAGCCTGAAGGGGCGGTACTCTGAGATATAATTTCTTGATATTTTCAAGTTTAATGCGACATGAAACAGGCAATAAGAAGCTGTTCTCCTCGGATAATAGGTTTGACTTTTATTAATAGTAACGATAAACTGGATGATGCCGACAAAACACTAATGGCGGGTAGTTATATGCCTCCTTGGATTATTGGAAATTGTCGTCATTTTTCAATCGTTATTATAGGTTTTGATGAGTTTCTTTGTGGCCTTACTTTGTTGCGGTTATTATTTGCAAATGAGCGTTGCAAAGTAAGCCTGTCGTATAGTTTTACGGTACAAGAAATGTTTCATCCCACACAGGTCATGTCAAGCAATTGGATAAAAATTACTCAGCAATTTTTTATAATGTGTCTCATTCATAATGTATCTCATCCAGATGGAATGCCAGTACTGACATCAGAAAATGTATATGAATAAAAACCGAAAATATTATAAGTGAATGTTGAATGATATGAATTTACATTAGGACTTTTTTATGTTGGTACACTCGTCTCGAACATATGTTAACAGTTTCAGCTGTTTAGCATGTGCAGTTTGCTGGTGGGGATCATAAAAGTTAAGTGTTCTGCGTGTTCGGCTATTTTCTGCTATCGAAAAAAAAAATGGATCTAAGAATTTGCATCAAATTTCGTGTAAAAAATGGAATTCAGTGCTCAAAAACACGTAAAATGTTGACAGTGGCCTACGGTGATTGTACTCTGAGTCAGAAAAATGTTCACATGTGCTAGATGTTTTTCACAGAAGGTAGAGAAGATGTGGCCCTAGACGCCCCAGCATATCAATAACCGATGAAAATGTTGAGAAAGTGAAGTAAATTGTTACGGAAAATCGTCGAATCACTTTTAGAGAAGTTGCTGAGTAGACATATCTGTTGGCTCATGCCATGCAATTTTTTCGGAAATGTTGGCCATGAAGCGTGTTGTAACAGGTTATTATATCGCTGGGTCACTAGTGGAATAATATTCAACTGTCTATCAATCCTTGGTAACCCTCTCGCTATTGTCATATTTGTTTTACCTAAATATAATTTGACAGATGCTGTCACCAGATGCAGATTTCTCCACATCAAAATTTGGATGTCAGGCAATTCCGAAAAGGGTGTAGGGTTTGTGCCGATCGCACAAAGGCCGGTCTTTTTGAAATATGATCATTTGGTATACCTTCTTATGTTCTCTCTCATTATATGGTTCCAG